TAATCTCCCCAAACACAGGCAAAGAGGCCATTATCATGGAATACAAGCAGTTCTGTATGTGTCCACACACGTGCACAGACACACATGTGCACAAAAGCGCATACACACACAGCTTAAGTCCCAAACAATAGATCTGGAAGACCTCATTAGTCTCCAGAGCCAGGGTTGAGTGTTGGCCGGGGCCAACTCTGTCGTCCTATTATGCCAATACCAACACATGGCACGGAGTGAATTAATGGCTAAATGGAAGCGTGCAAATTGTTTGGGGCATAATGGGCCTACCTGCATCTGTCACTGATTCATTATAATGGAGTATTGCAAAGGAAAATAAAGCCAGGAGTGCTGCAAGGTATCAATCCAGTTTATTTGGCCGCACCATGTCTACTGGGGCTGTGAAGCATGTGGAATGATGCGGTTTAAAGATCAAATGCCATTAAAGGGACACGTGAGTCCAATGTTGTTTTTTTCTAAAATGGAAATCTAATTGCTCAGTGACCAGATATGGGGAAATCAAGTGGTTTGTCCTACATAGAGGGCTAAAGTATAGGACTTCAGGAGGATTTGGAGCACAATAGATTAGACATAATTATGGACTGATAAAGAATGGACTTAGCAACCTGGAGAGAATTGAGTTATTGATGCTGGAAAATCACTCAGTTGCTCTTTCACAGATATATGCACACACGCATGTGCACACACAGTTACAGTAGGTTCATGAAACTGCCCCTCATGACTCCATAGGCTTCCTCGTTGCCTCAGTGAAATTTCTTGCAGCACCCTGTCTCTCTTCTCTATTCAGTTGACCTTTTTTAAGAATAGAAATACGACTTTGTTGTAACTCCACAAAAGAGGCAAAGTTTGCTGACAACTAAGAGAGGAGTCAATGATACAAATAAGTCTTTTGAATAAACTCGAACTTACTGTAAGTCTCTGACAGTTAGCAAGCTTGTTAGATTGGAGAGCTTCTTCCCTCTTCAATACATCTCTTTATTGAATGCAAGTATGTACAATGCTGTGGACAAGATGCAAAAAAGCGCAGTGCAGAGAAGGTAGAAAGAAGCTCTGGGAGCTAAAATGACTCAGTAAAGCTCGCATGTTAATTTTCCAGCTTCAGTACTTCACTAACACTGTGAGTAGTCACAGAGCTTCTAGGTTGAGGCATTTCCCAAAGACATGCATGAGTTTTGCTGCGCCTGTAGAAATTCAGTATGAAATGATAATAGTACTGAAAGATGTTAATTCAAATGCTTTTGAAATAAAGAACCTATACCACCGTTTAAATCCTGGCTGACTGAACTAAGTAGCATGCTACACAACAATTAATGTTGTTTTTTTTTTTAACATATTTAATTTTTTTTTTTTAAGTGGACAGTCTGGGGACACTTCAAAATAAATATGAAGTACTGCACTAAAAGTGGACATTCTTGTTTTGAAATATGTTATACAGGGTGCTCTGTCGAGACACCCTACAGACGTGACAATGATGAGATGTATGAGGCTGCACTAACTTTTCTTATTTCATTGTATTTCTTCCTGCTTTTTGTGTATTGTATAGAGATGCAACTATCATTCGTTTTTGGTATTGATTAGTTTGTCAGTTATTTTCTTGATTAGTCAATGAGTTGCCATCTTAAGATGACTTCTTAAGATGGCTTATTTTGGCCAATGAAGAATCCGAAAATATTCAATTCACTAACCACAAAATATTTGAATGTTTGGATTCATAATCAAACGATTAACTTACCGTCTGTTTCAGCTCTACTACTGTATGGTTCTTTTTTGCTGGTGTGGATACGGGTGGGTATTGATGTCAGGATGCAGGGTTGTGTTTTTTGTGTTTTTATGCTTTTCTTGGTTTGTATGACTGAAACGCTATAAATAAAACATTTTTTTTTAAAAATATATAAAAACAGCTACAGTAGCACTAGAGAACACAACTCTACAACAATGAAATACAATTCACCTCAACATGCTTCCCTCTCACCACCATATTTTAGATCCTCTTTCCACCTCTGTTTTACACTTTAATCTATTCATTCATCTATTCAACCCTCCCCCCGACCCCCCCACCCCCCCACCCCTCCATGACTATGACATTATCGCATTTCTCCTCTCACGCTGCTTTTGTCACACTCAGAAATACTCATTTCTTTTCTCTCTCCCTCTCTCTCTCTCTCTCCTTCTCTCTGTCTCTCTGCCTCTGTAACTGCTTTCATACAGTATGTAGAGAGAAATATATAAGCAAGTGGTTGCCATGCCAACAGTATCCACCGCATTCATCCCCTCGTTCTGTGTGTGTGTGTGTGTGTGTGTGTGTGTGTGTGTGTGACAGTGAACATGCGTAACAGAGGAAGAATTAAGGTTTAAGGAGAGCGAGCCAAGTGATCGAGGGGAAAATACAGATTTCCTCAAAAACTGTGGTGAGCAGAAAATGATGTCTAATGCAGCTAGGCTCCCCCTCAACACACACACACGCACGCACACACACACACACAATTTCTCTTATGTGCTCTTTTCCCAAAGCAATGCTTTTACACGTCTGTGACACTCTTTTCTACGATTTCCCTCCTGTCACTTTCTGTTTGTGGCCTCTGTCTCTCTGTCAGCTGTAAAATGTGGTAATTATATGTTGAGCAAAATCCTCTTCCTCCTTCACACCCACACAAGTTGTGTTATTTCATAACCTTCCACCTCCCCTCCCTTTCCCATCATCTCTACCTCTATCACGTTCTTTATCCACCATTGGATTTTTGTATGCAGCAGAAAAGACCCTGTAGGGTTCACGAGTCTCTGAACCTGACAGACCAATGGATGTATCGTCTTGCTGTGGGGACATTAATGCACTTCTCCTTGAATTGGAGCTTTTATTTGATTCTTTCTTTATTCAAGTTGAGAGAAAGCCTTGATCCAAATGTTCTCTGAAGCAACAAGTAAAGCCTGTAGATCTGATTTACAGAGTATAACAGTCTGTCTAAAGGCTCCACGGTTGTATATTATCCCACCATTATCACTACAGTTTATCAAACATAACCACTTTTTCTAATTATTCTATTTGGTAAGCTGATAATGACTTTGCTAAATGTGTTTGATAGGACGACTTCACATTGGACATGAATGTCATTAATAAGAAGGCTTTAACTAGAGTAATTTCAAGAAATCACTTTGTCAAATAGATTTGCGCAGCAAGGTCATCCAAAACCTAATCAGACCAGTTATTCGACAGGAGGGAAGTTCGGTGCAAGAATGAAGTTTCTACCATGATTTGGTTTTGATTTGTTCACAAAAATGCACTCATACAATAATACATGATTCATGACAGTCCTCTTTAACATGCACCATGGTGCCTGGACGCAGTAAAACCTACAGTGACCGATATAATGCAAGCAGGTAGGTCAACAGTGTTTGATTTTTTCACAAATGACCAACTCCATGGTTTGTATAATTCATTTTGGATTTTCTTTTTGGAAGCCAGGGGTTTACTTGGACTTCTACAGGTTTCTTTCTGCAAAAAATTTTACCTCAAAAAAGCAATATTTCCAACATCCATAAAAATGATAAACAAGCAGTGAGGGAATATAGATGCTAACACATATTATGCACTTTACTACTGCTTGCACAGCAGCACTGTTTTCACTCCATGTGTACAGTACAGTGTGTTGTTTTTACTTATTTATGAGCCAAACACAAAATACTTTTTAAATTGGAGTCTTGTTAAAAATCAACTCTTCACAAGCCTCTAGCACAATACAGTACTGAGATAAAACATGTCGAAAAAAAATCTTCTTGTCCACTTACTCGCTTTTTCCAAAGCTTTCAAATCACATGGCATCTGAGTAAATTCCATCCACTCAGAAAGACCATGAGATGTTGCTGAAACCTCTGGAAAACGCTAAGAAGTTAACTTTGAGTTAATTTTTTTGCCAAAGTACTATCTCCAAGGTCACACTCAGTTAGAGAGAAAATGCTGTACCTGCTCAGCCTGTATCAGTTAAACTAAACCAAATACACCTTGAAAACCAAACACACATCACCAATGCCATAACACAGACCACGGAGAAAACTGCAGGAAATCTCTACTGTTCATCCCATTTTCTCCAGAAGCTAGGCTGCATCAATGAAAACCCTAAAAGCTAATAAAAACCCAAACTCAGCGTCGTATGGATTCCATCATTCTTCTGGCAGGGACTTAAACACAGCTAAGCCTATTAACACAACATTATTTAAAGATACATTTCAAAGCTTTTGTTCCATTTCTGGATCATAGATTCTCCTCATGCAGCCTGGTTTGTGCCAAATCTCTTGCATCCTGCTCCCACAGAGATGGGTTTTGACTTGCTATGTACATTACTCTTTTGTTTCACACTGTGAGCCCTCTCAGACTTGAGTCGGCTCACTGTCAGGAGCTTCAATATGACGTCAGGCTCACAGAGGAGGTAAATTAACAGCAAAATCAATCTGCAGAGACACTTTGTCAGAATGAGAAGATGCTCTGCACGGTGAGAAGTTGATGCATCTTAAAAAAGTGAGAAAGGAAATTCTTAATGTTCTCTCCATTTCTAAATTATCCTTAAAAAAAAAAAAAAAAAAACTGGCAATAAATATCCAAAATCCAAAGTCTTCCTAATGCCTACTTTTGGATTTGGAACTAAAAAAACAAACAGATGGTGTCAAATATAACTATAGAGCTATTTTCATCTATAATTGATTTAATTTAAAGGTCTTGATTCAAACTGTAAATCATGTTACAGTTAACATGATTTTACAAGTCCTTGAAGGTGGCTGCGCAACAATTTAATCCAGGAACTCGCTCTTATTGTCAGTTGAGAGTTTGTAGTCTTTTTAAATATGCAATAGAAATACCATCCAAAAAATATTAATGTAATGAATGCTGGATAAAAAACAACAACAAATGATGTCTCACAGTGGGATCAAATTATTAATGCAAGGTTCACAATTTCTTTTTTCTTTTTCCTAAAAAATAGATGAATAGCTTTTCCTACCTTTGCTGCCATGACCATGGAGGACCCTCCCCTGATGCCCAGGATGGGGAGGTGTGTCTGGGCAGAGATGAAGTCCAGGATCTGAGCAATGGCCTCTTGATCCGTGTCGTCACCGAACACTACGCCTTGCAGTGAGTTCCTCGTCATTTGTGCGCAGATCCGATTGATGATACTCTTTGGGTCGGTCTCGTTCATGGTGACCACCTCGACTTTGGGAGGGTAAGGGATGTGGAGGAAGTCCTCTTTCTCAAGTCCAGCCCCCAAGGCTACTTCACTAGAGTTGCCCACCAGGATGACAGCAATACTGAGTGAGTTGATCAGTTTGGGATTGATTGGTGGAAGAACCGGTGAGCCTGGAGAATACTGAGGGGGGATGACAACACCCCTCTGGGTGCCGCCTCCCCTCTGGCCACCTTGTCCTCCTGGGGCACCTCCGGGCCCTGTACCTGGACCTCCACCCCTGCGAGACTCGCAGACAGGCAGGAGGAGTATGGAGAGGAGGAGAAGAGAGAAGGACAAGGAGAGGAAGGGAAGGGTCAGCCGAGGCTGAGGATAAGGATGCAGAGAGTGGTCTTGAGGAGGATGAGGGGGAGGAGGGGGATGATGGGGGGAGGAGGCCGGGGAGACGAAGCGCTTGTCCTGAAGACGGGAGGGAGAAGGGTGGAGGCTGACAAGCATTGTGAAGGAGTGTAAATGGCGTCCCTGCAGGGGAAGAGAGGGAAAGAAAGACAGAGAGAGAAGATAAATGGTAAACAGAAAATGATGTACAACACTTCAGATTTGACCAAAAGTGAAAAACATTGATGTCGACAAACAGCTGAGTGTAAAAATACTAGTGTCCAACCTTTAAAATCCAGGTCCAGGTCAATATCATCTGTTGATATTAACTTATCAGAGATATATCCACACAGGCTTGTACAGTATGTCAGTGCAGAAATGCCCAACATGTGTTTGTTGTTGTTTAAAACAGTAACACCATTACAGTTTTTCCACCACAGAGCACTGTAAAATGTCCTGCTCAGTATGTTGGTCACGTTTCTTTAAAAAAAAAAAAAACTAATTTAAGGGATCCTTATCAAAAATGTTTGTCTATGTTATGTGTTCTGTTAAATAAATAACTATTGGCAGATGAATCATTTTCAACTCTCTCTTTTTAACTCTCAAATACAACATTTTGGTATCTGCTTCAAAATCCAGTCCAAGCATGGGAGATATAGCTGTGTTATTTTATACCCCTCCAGCAAGTTAAGCACCCATCAATTTCATCTAAATTGTGGAGGGACTGCGGAGACTCTCGTGCCACTCATATTCATGGGTCTTTTTTAGAAAGTAATACGAAAAGAAATGGAGCATTTTTTGTTCTATATTAACTATCATTCTGTGCTTTTGGGGAAAGGTTGAGAAAAATGGTGAACAAAAGAGATGAGCATCGGTTCAGGATATTAGTTTGAGTGGCTGCAGAAATATATCTACAACTGTCTAAATGGACAAAAACAACACATGAAAAAAATGACATATGAAGTCAGAGCCAACCTTTGTGTGAAAATCGTCAGAGAGATTTAATATTAGAAATGGTCGAACTATGTTAAATCAATTTCCTACCACACTGGTAAGCAGAGCATGCTTTATTTCTTAATATACACCAATAAGCCAAAAAATAATGACCACTCACACATGAAGTAAACACCCTTAATTATCTCGTAACAAAGGCCCACATCACTGTCTGGGATACATCAGATGGTAAGTGAACAGTCAGTTGTTGTAGTCAATGTGCTGGATACAGAAGAAATGGGCAGGTGTGAAGACCTGACCTGACCTGACCTTCTCATTAGATGGATCCACTTTATGCAGATCACCTTTCACGAACCAAAAACAAAAATTGTCTAATAATACCATTGCTGCTGGCTCATTGTTATAGATAGCACTAATAAAGAGTACTTTAAAAATCCAGTAAGGGTCAGGATCTTACAAAATACCAGTGATGCAAACCCTTAATTGCAGACTTTACTAAGTGAGCCACATAGCTGGGTATCAAACCACACACTGAGAGAGAAAGGCCTGTAAGCATCAAGTGACAGCGCCACATCCATTATACTGTGCTGTGACTTCCTTGGAGGAACCCTGTGGCACACATCAAAGACAGAGCGGTGAAGAGATGAGAATGTGTGTGTGTGTGTGTGTGTGTGTGTGTGTGTGTGTGTGTGTGTGTGTGTGTGTGTGTGTTTCGAGTGAGTCAGGACAGCACTGGCTACATTTTGACAGATTGACAGCCTCACAGCTTCATGGACTAGCTGCCAGGGTAAGTGACCATTAGACACTCAGACTGGGCTCAACTTGGTCTCTCTCTCTCTCTCTCTCTCTCTCTCTCTCCCTCTCTCTCTCCCTCTCACACTAGCTTCATTGCCTTTCTCCCCTTTACCCTCCGAACCTGTTTTCTCTCTGCTGCTCCCTCCCTCTGAGATCTCAACGCTGCTTTTTGAAGTCAACTACAGACCTATTATTTACTATCATTGCTATTATTTACTGCTCCTATATTAGCAGCCATACAAAGAGCAGTGGAGTAGAGTATGGAAGAGAAGTGATGGAGGGAGGGGAGAGGAGAAAGAAAGTGAGAGAGGCGGAGGGAAAGATGTAAGCAGAGGGAGGTGACAGGCAGGGAGAAACACAATTAGTCATAGCCTGATGTGAAAATTGTGGTTTCTTACTGTGTGTGTATGTGTGTGAGCTCACGCACATACAAATGTATCAGGAGTACAAATTTGGGCATGTTTTCTGCACAGATAAAGACGAGGAATCTTAATGAGTATACGTTCATGCTCATATTCTAAATTAAGCACTGAGGACCACTTTGGAATAGGGATAAATAAAGGGCAGAGGAAAAAGCTTGTTCCTCTTCATCGCTCAGACAACACCTTTACTAATCTTTTATTTATCAAGCACCCTGTGTGTTGTGGAGCTGATCCAGTCAGCACCAAAAACAAAAGTCCAAAGAAAACAACGGAGAAAGAGAGAAGTTGGGAAGGGAACGGAAATCTGACAGAGGTAGAAAACGGCGACAGAAAAGCACAGAGGAATCTGTGAAGTACAGAGCGAGCAAAGAGAGAAGAAGCCAAACAGCGTGGAAACTCAAAAGAGGAGGAAATGTGATCACCACATGAAAAACAGTTTGTCTAAAAGGTCTAATTATCAGAGGTTTGTCAGGCTTAATTGCAGGTGCACATGCTAATTGTAAACGAGGACACCACAGTGGAGAGAGGGAGGGAGGGAGGGAGAGAGAGAGGAGGAGGAGGAAGCGAGTGGGAGGAAGGCAGCAGAGAGAAGAGAAGAGGAGAGAAGAGTGGGGCGAGGGAGAGAATAAATAGAGACATACACAAAAGAGATGGAGGTGGAGGAAGGAACAGCAATAAGAAACCCAGAGGAGGGAGGGAGGAGGGAGAAAGTGAGGGAGGGAGGTGTGGAGGGGCAACGCAGCTGAAGAAAGAAAGATGAAAAGAAGACATGATTAGCACAAGATGATAAAAGAAGAGCAAAGGGTGGATGGGAGGTTAAAGAAATCTAAAGAAAAAAGAAAAGGAAGAAAAAATGGTCTCAATGCACAGATGGAAATTATTGTGCAAAAGGGCTGATGAATCTACTGAGAGGGGGCACTGGAGGGGAACTGTTAGAAAAAAAATCTTTAAAAATAACACAAGAAGTGTGACAGTAAATGAGGGAGCAGAGGAAGACAGAGACCCATTCGGATATGTGTTTCTATATAACAGCAGTGCTCGGTTTCCATAGTAACAATTCAAATATGCTTCCACATAACACTGTGATGGACAGGAAGATATACACAACTTGCACCAATTCATACAGTACACTACATGCAGTGCGTGCCCTCACCTCATAATACACAATTTACTTTCATTTAAGCTGGCGCATATAGCTGCGCTGACTCTCACTGACAAAAATAAAATGCTTGTAACATAAAATAAATAGCACGGTGCCTTCGCGCAAACGTGTGCATGCACACCCACATACACACATACAAAGTAAGTTAATGCACTCCTGCAGATAGAGATGATCCACTGCTCCGCCTTTTAGGGTACCTCACATTAAAAATGAATCTCCAAAAGGGCTACAGGCAAATAAACAGAAATAACACGATGGATGGAGCATCCAGCCAGGAAACTGGCTGAGCAGGAGCTGCTATGACATTTGGACTAATCAGGCCTTTATACAACATCTCTCCCATCACTAACAGTCCCCAATTAATAACATTTAAATGGAGGGTGTCAAGAGTGGATCATTTACTGGCAGCGTAATAGAACAAAAGTAAACAATCTAGCGCGGCGTCAACGAATCCAAACTGACATATGAATTTATGTGCACTTGTGTGCCCATTACAGCACTTACACAGCTATTACAATAACATATGCAGCGCAGGGAAAACATGGATAAGGGGCGAAGAGCGGCTACACAAAACACCCACATGTGTGCATTGCTTGTATCCAGTAATCTACTGCAGACGTGACTAACCCTCTACCCAGTGCTCTGATACAGACTTGCATGCATGAGTGCAGAGCTGGCCACGCAAATGGTTCGAATATGAGCACTGTAGGTCAAACACTGTTTGGGTCCATGCATTCAGACATCTGAGCCCTCGTGGTTTGCAGGTGATGGATTCTGTTTTTCCCACATTTTAAGTCTTGTGTATGACCTTACATGCTCGCTTGCTCGCTTGCGCGCGCAATCATGCTCTTGAGCACAGAGAAGGCTCTGGGTTGAGCTAGATCATGCAAAAAAGACTGACACATCAGTCATATGGCGCTTAACATTTACAAAGAGCATTGATCACAGAACTGTCAAATGGCACAAGCCACCAATAGAATAACCAGAGCTATTTGAGACGCATAACTGCACGCAAACACACACACACACGCACGTACGCACGCACGCACGCACGCACACACACACACACACACACACACACACACACACACACACACACACACACACACGCACAGACTTTCAATCTGCCAATAAAGCTTCCACATGATCAATCAAGCCATGGAGTGTGCACCCTGATCAACCCCCCCCCCCCCCCCCCCCCCCCCCCCCAGCTCCCACAATAATGTATATGTATGGACTTTTAACGGTCACGTTTCTCCTGAATATTGCAGTGGATTACAGACTGTGGTGTATTCACTGCAGAGGCTCCAAGCAGCAGCCTGAGAGACAGTAAAACTGAATCTGCCACGCTATTTAAAACACACGTAGGCCATCATTATCAAGCTCTACTATATCCCCAGAGACTTGATGTGGTGGGATGCGCTGTATAGCATTTGAAAGGCATTGTGGATAACATAAGCTGACAGGCATATCTATTAAGGAGCCCATTTACATTCAGTGGGTGGTCAGTTACAGGTAAGAGTGGTACTTTTGTCATCTCCACTGAAGCACATGCTGCATCAGACATGATTTATAAATAATAACAAACCATACTAAAAACTAGACGCAACTATTGTTCCAGTAAATGTCTACAGTACGACCTGACAAAATGGAAAAGTCCTTGAGAGTTGAGTCTATTTATTTCATTAAAAGGCTTGGATGTCCGCCAAGAGAGATGCAGGTGAAAATGTTTAACATTTCTGTTTACACTCACAACTCCATTATTTAATCTATAATTCACAAACTTA